ACAAGCTACAGTTTTAAAAGGTTCGCTGCTTTGCAGAGGCAGGTTTTTCAGGAGTAATTCTGCACGCTCCCCCCCCACCCACCCCCAGGAAAAAGTGGCTGGAACCAAGAGAGGTTCACTTTCTCCCTTCTTATTTGTACGTCATTTCTAGCCCCCTGCCTCCCCGAAAAAGGTGCTTTTCTTTGGCTTAGTTGCCGCTTCTGGCAAACGGAAGTTTCGGGCTCAGCTCCAGGGACATGGAATGTCCTCTTGAGGGACCTGAAAGAAAAGGTTTGGGGGTGGATCCTCAAGAGAGAAAAGCTACCGATGAGCTCGATGGGAGTCAAATAGGACTTGATGGCACTTAAGGAAGCCCGGAAGCAATGAGAACATCTTCAAATGCCTTAAGTAAGGTACAACGAGCATGTTCTTCCGTCTTATGTCTCTAGATGGCGCGCTACAGAGAAATAACACTCGGTACACCGGCGACTGAGCTATTCTAGGGAAGGGGGAAAGGCTGAGATAGAACGGGTCGAAACGATAGAGTAGTGGATTGCTAGAGTGGTTGTAAAGGGGAGGAGGCGAAGGGAACACGAAAGGCTGATGGCGTCGGCGGAGCCTCTTGTGCCGCTTGGAGGGTCGAAGCGGCTCCTGGGAGGTGAGTGGAGGGCAGGTCGGAGGAGAAGCCGGGAGCAAGTCTGGCCCTTTGAGTTCCTCCACGGCCTGGAAGCAGCGAAGGGACAAGGTGAAAGATGTGGGCTGCTGTTGTATATCCTTTCTGTACCCGGATTTTATTATCCTTATGCTGCATTATTTAAAACAACTGCCCGTGATTTTCTGCTGAGAGATGTGGGAGATTGAAAGAAATATTTATATATATTTATCATATTTCTGTTCATTTTCCTCACCCTTCATTTTAGTGACTTGGGGTTTTCTTGGCAAGCGAGGTGCTTAATGGGCAAAACGGATGCTTTGTATCTCGAGTAGGAGTTGGGCACAGTTTCCTCTATTAGCGTCCCCTCCCCCCCCCTTTTTTTTGAACTTAGATCAAAGAATTTGAGCGAATGCAGTTTGGGACATTTTGCACAACGGGACACGCATAGATTGTCTACATACATTCATAGGTGTGTGTTTCTGTGTTCATATGTGTGTATAGCCAAAAATTTAAGTGTAATGTTATACCCCGATTCTGCTTGAGCGTGGAGCAAGATCCGTTTCAACTCTATTCTGATTGACTGATTGAAAAAGAGAATTTTATGGTGGTGGTGATATTTGAATATGGATCTTGTTAACCTTCTATATGCCAAAATCAATCGTAATTAACATTAGGGGTTAAAATAGAATTTTTTTAGTTTGTTTTTTCATGCTAATCTTTGGGATGAGGTTTTTTTCTTGCTTTCACATGTCCTGCAGCCATTTGTCAACAATAATGAAACTGCAGCCATTTTTCAACAATAATGAAACTAATCCATTTATATTAATCTTACAGAAAGAGAGGATGCCAAGAATTGCACTCTGGACAACAGAGAATGAGAAGCAGCATTAAAGTGCAAAATAAAGAATCAAAATATTTTCCAATTCCTCTGGAAATTTTAAAAACTCTTCTTCCTCAACAAATCAGGGAAAGAATAACAACAAAAGAAATGTTGAGCTGGAAAAAATATAGCATGTGGAACTGAAAAAAAAAACATTTAATGAGAAATCAAGGAGGTTAATTTTTAAATAAAGAAAAAGTGAGGAGCAACTTGAAGTCAGTGCGAAGAAAAAGGTTCCATGTATAGCCAAAGTTGGCAGGCATTAATTAAAGCTTTGAGGAAGGAAAGAATGGCTTGAACTAAACAATCACTAGGCAAGAGATCCAAAATATTTTTCTCTGCCTCAAAGATCCCCAAACCCCCCACAGACTACTTATTTTGGAAAAGACAAAGATTGCAGATCACATCTGATTGATTCATAAGCCCAACCACCCTGTGAACAGCCATACAGATGCTTGGAGTGCAGCAGAAACTTTACACAGAACAGGTCTTGTGATTTGTGGAAGGACCCCTACTGAAGAGAAACTCTTACCAGTGCTCCTCATCTGACAAAAGATTTAGCATGCACACCAATCTGCTGATACACAAAAGCACTCACAATGGGGAGAAACCATATGAGTGTCTGTATTGTGGGAAAACTTTTCTGCATAATTCCAAGCTGGTGATACACCAGAGGACTCACACGGGAGAGAAACCATATGAGTGTCCAGATTGTGGGAAAAGTTTCAGTCAGAATTCAAACCTGATGATTCACCGGAGGACTCACACTGGAGAAAAACCATATGAGTGTCCGGATTGTGGGAAAAGTTTCCAGCAGAATTCTAAGCTTGTGATACACCAGAGGACTCACACGGGAGAGAAACCATATAAGTGTCCAAATTGTGGGAAAGGTTTCAATTGGAATTCCGAGTTGGAAATACACCAGAGGACTCACACTGGAGAAAAACCATATGAGTGTCCGGACTGTGGGAAATGTTTCAGTCGGAATTCCCACCTGGTGGAACACCAGAGGATTCATACAGGAGAGAAACCATATGAGTGTCCAGATTGTGGAAAAAGTTTTCAGCAGAATTCCAAGTTGGTGATACACCAGAGGACGCACACAGGAGAGAAACCATATGAATGTCCTGATTGTGGGAAAAGTTT